TATATATATAATAAAAATTTTATCTTTAATAAAAAAATCATTTATATATAAAAATAATTTACTATGAATCATATGCCTTATAAAGATTTTTAATTTAATATTATTAATAGACAATTCTTATTATAAAAGTGTATAAAATTAATATTTTATTAATTTAATATTATATAAAAAAAGATATATAATAAATAAAATATTAATAATTTATATATATAAATATATATATATATTAATCACTAAAATATTTTTTAAATATATATAAATTTGCTTGAATTTATAAACAAAATTATTTATTTCGTATTATAATTTTTTTATAAAATAAATTATAAGAAAATAGAAAATTAAATGCAATTTTTTATATAAATTATTATATAAATATATTAAATATTATTTAATTTTATTAAAATTTTAATTTTTTATATACTAATATTTTAATAAATAATTTATTTATAAATTTAAAATTAATATTATATTAATTGTATTTGTATTTTTAATAAAATAAATTTTATATAACTTCTTATAAACTAAATATTAAATATTAAATATTAATATAAAAATTAAATATAAATAATATGACAGCTTAATTGCGTAAAAAGTAAGAAATTTTTTAAAATAAACTAAATAAATATTAGATTTGAATAAGAAATTAAATAAATACTAAGCAAAAAAACATCACCTCATTAAAGCGAGGAAGTAATATTACTAAAATATTTTAAATACTTTGATTTAAATAATAATGGTGCTGTGGAATTAAATGAATTTTTAAAAGTTGTTGAAAAAATAGGAATAACAATATTAAACTAACAAGTAATAAATTCATAAAATAATTATTAAAAAATAATAATATATTTAAGGATTTTGTTGATATTTTTAATTATTATGATTTAAATGGTGATGGCACATTAAATTATAAAGAATTTATTTCAATTATATATGATACTAATTTAGGACAAAGAAGGTATATTCATAATTTAAAATACTTTATTATTTTTAAATAATAAAAAGATATTCACCATAAAAATAATAATAATAATAATAATAATAATATTAATAATAATAATAATAATAATAATAATAAAATGATATAAAAAGATGCAATAATCTAAATTTAAAAAATAGCAATTATGAATTATCCTTTTAAAAATTTAAACAAAAACTTCTTTAACGAGGCGCAACTGGAATTTTAGGAATAGGAAGATAATTTAGAGTAAAAAATATTTGGAATAATTAAAAAAATATTTATATTTTAATATAAAAATAAAAGATAATTGATGATGATAATTCAAAAACTTTAAACTTTTAAGAATTTCGTAAATCAGTCAGAGATTTTTAAGTTGATCTAACTGAATAACAAATCAATGAGGTTTTTTAATATTTTGATAGAGATGGAAACGGTACAATTGATTATGATGAATTTATTTTGAGTATACGTGGCCCAATGAACCAAAATAGAAAAAAATTAGCTCAATAAGCTTTTAAAATTTTAGATAAAGACGGTTCAGGAGTAGTAGATCTATATGACATAAAATAAATATATAACGGAAAAATGCACCCTGATGTAAAAAGTGGAAAAAGAACTGAAGAATCGGTCCTTTTAGAGTTTATTAATACATTTGAATCATATACAGGTTTTAGAGGTATAAAAGATGGATAAATAACTTAAGAGGAATTTGAAGAATATTATTCATTTATAAGTGCTTCTATTGATAGAGATGATTATTTCGAATTAATGATGAATAATGCATGGAGAATGAATGATGGAGCAAATAAAAATTGGTAAACAAAAGGATGGTAAAATACATAATAATAATAAGAAAATAATGGATAAACTTTAAAAGAAAATAATAAATAAAAAAATAAATAACAATACAATAGTTAATATTAATAAAATAAAATAATAAAAGGAAGTAATAATTAAGATAATATATAAATAAATATATATATATATATGTATATATATTATATATATTATATTTATTTTTATTTTATATATTTTTTTAATATACATTTTTTATTTATATATTATTATAGATGCATAAGAATATAGATCTCTTACTACATAAAATGCACCTTTTGGTACTTCAAATATACCTGTTGATTATTCTACCAATTTAAGGCCTAATATAAATTAATAATAATAATCTTCATAATATTTTTTGGAAAAGTAACCATAATTCAAAGTAAAGTCTAGAATTTCTTAATAAAGTTTAGATTTATTCTAATCTTTTAGATAGAAAATTTTAAGTAGGGGTACTCGAGGAATATAATCTTTAAGTCGTTTATACAAAATAATAGATGATGATAATAATAAAAAAATAAACACGCATGAATTTATAAAATGTTGTAAAGATTTAAGAATGGGATTTAGTGATTAAGAATCTGCGATTTTATTTAGATTTTTCGATATAGACGGATCTGGAGAAATAGATTATGATGAATTTCTTTTTACAGTAAGAGGAGAAATTAATTAATTTAGAAAAGGATTAGTGATGAAAGTTTTTAATAAATTGGACAAAAATAAAAATGGATATATTGAACTTGATGATATTATTGGAATATATAATGCTAAATAACATCCAGATGTTAAAAACGGTAAAAAAACTGAAGAAGAAATTTTAGGAGAATTTTTAGATACTTTTGAAATACATCATGCTTAAGCTGTATATTATTATATATATATATTTTTTTTTAATAATATATTTTTAGACTGGAAATAAATAAGGGAGAGATAAAAAAGTTAGTAAAGATGAATTTATTGAATATTATACTAATGTAAGTGCTTCTATTGACGATGATAAATATTTTGAAGTCATGATAAGAAATGCATGGAAAATATGAATGGAATATGGAACATATATATATTAATTGTTAAAAAAAATTTAAATTTAATTTTTTTTTAATTAAATATAATAAAAAAATATAGTTTAAAAAAAAAACTATATTTAAAATTTTATAATTAGAAAATAAAAAAAAAAAAATAATTAAAAAAATATGTAATTATATAAATATATATATATATATATATATTTATATTTATATACATAAAATTATTAATATATATAAATAAAAATAAAAATATATTAATATAAATAAATATATATATAAATTTATTTAAATTTTTTTATATATATTTTTATATTTATAATTTTTTATTATTTTATATTTATTTTATTTTAAAATATTATATAATTTTATTTTAAATTTTTAATAAATTATTATATATTATTATAGTTTATTATTAATAAATTTTTTTTTTTTTAATATATAAATATATAAAATAGTCTAAAATATTTTTTATTATTTTTATTTTTTTTTAAATACAATAATAATATTTTAAAACTTAATAATTTTTTTTTTTTTTTTAAGTTATCTTTTATAGTTTTTTTATATATATAAAAATTAATATTTATTATTAAAATATTTTCACATTAACTTAAATTCATATATATTTATTTAAAAATTTTTTTATTTATATATAACATTTTTCATCATAATAAGGTATATCATGACTTCCTTAATAAAAATAGCTTTCTTTTATTATAAACCATTTCATAATTTCATTTGTTTTTTAAATACTAACTATTTCATCTTAATCTCCAGTAATAAACAAAGCTGGTATTTCAATTTTTTAAGTGCCATCATATAATTATTTTGTGAATTCAATATTTAAAATTTTAGGTAAACCAACAGCACATATATTCACAATACATTTTAAATTTTGAAATAATTATTTATTATTTAAAAAAAATAAAGTGCCAAATAAAGTTCCTTATGAATAACTAATAATAAAATTAATATTACTCTAAACTTCTTATAATTATTATATTAATAAATTTTCAGATTCCTAATAATAATAATAATTTGCTTTTTCTTAAAATAAAAATATATTTTCACTTTCTAAAGGATTTCCCAAAACATGAGAAAACCAACATTTTTAATCATGTACTGTTTTTTTATAAGCATTAGGGATTATTACTTAAGATATTTTATAATTATTTTATAAAAAAATAAATAAATTTTTTAATTTTTCCTAGATTATTTAAGAATTTTAACTAAAACCATGCAGAACTAATATATTTAATTCTTTATACATTTAAAAATAATTTTATTTTAAATTTATAAAAATAAAATTAAAAATTTAATAAGTTGAAAAAATATGATTATATATATATATATAAAAAATTTATATTTATACTTATATAAATATTTAAATATATAATTATATATTTATTTTTATTTAATAATATATATTTAATTGATATTTTAAAATTATTATTCTTAATATAAAATATAATATTTTTTTTATATTTAATACTAAAATATACTAAACTATTAATATTGAAATATTTAATAAAATTGCTGCATTAAATATTATATTAATAATAAAAGTATTTTTAAAAGTCGTTTTGAATTTATCAAGTTAATTAAATAAATTATAATAAAACTTATAAATTACAAAATAAAAAATATATTTAATTATATATTAATTATTATAAAATTGTACTAAAAAATAATATATTTTTATCTAAAAATCCCTTTAATATTATAAAAAGTTTTAGTTTTTATATTTATTACTAAAAAAATAAAAAATATGATAATATAAATTATATAATATATAATATATAAATATATATATATATATATTATATTTTATTTTTAATTTAATATATTAAAAAATAATTTTATATATATTTATTTTAATTAATTTTTTTTTTTTTTCTTAATAAATAAATATAGATTTATTTTTAAAATCATTTACTTTATAAATTAATATTTATAATTATTTAATATTTTTTTATATTTTATTTTATTTATTATATATATTTTTATCTCTTTTATTATTATGTTTTTTAATTTTTAAATTTTATATTAATATAATTGAATATTTTTTAGTTTTACTAATTTTTTATATATAATTATTATACAACATTTATTATATCTTAATAAAATATAATGAATTTTTTTATATATTAATTTTTATTAATATTTATTATATTTTTTTATATTTATTAATATTTTAAATAATATTTTTATTTTTATTTTTTAATATTTATTTTTACTTTTTAGCATTTTTTTTTTCTTATGCATTTTAAAAAAATTATAATAAAAATAAAAATGCTAATTATCTATATAATTATCTTAAAAATTATAATTATCTTTTTTATTATTGTCTTCTTTCTTATTTTTTATTTTTTTAATTATTTTTTAAGGTCTAAAATTATAAAAAAAATTCAAAAAAAGTTATATTAAAAAAATATATGTAATATTGCCAAAAACACCCCCAATATAAAAAAATCGCTCTTAATTTATCTCCTAATTATCCCTAAAAACTCGATTTTTAAATATGTGAAAAATGTATGACTATATAGTCTGAAAAATATCCAAATTTTCTCCTTTTTGATGATATTTTAAATACTAATGAAGGATATACTTATAAAACTGAAAATTATCCATTTGATGATATAGGCAAATATTTTAAAGAAAAAATACTAAATAAGCTAAAAAAAGAAGATGAAAAAGAAGAATTTTTTACATCTATATAAATGTAAATAGATGAAATAATTCAAAAATTAAATATTTTAAAAAATAAAATAAAAATAATAAATTAAAATTACAAAATATTTAATGAAAAATTCTTAAAAGAAGCTTAAGAAAATTTCAATTAAGTTTACGATTTATCCCATTTAAAAAATTTAATATAAAAAAATGCACAAAAATATGAAATTTCTTAAGAAAATGAACAAAATAAATTAAAATTATAACATTTAAAAATACAATATGAAGAAATAAATACATCTAAAATATATTAAAGCCTCTAAACTTTCATAAATAACATTAATTTACACACATGTGTTCTTTTATAGGAGATTTTACCCTAATTTAATTCCCAAATAGATACAAATTAATAATAAAGTCATCTTAAACTTATAAAATCAAAAAGTGGATTTCCTGATAATCTAAATAATATATATTACACAGTTAATTCGTTTTAAAAAAGTAGTAAATTTTAAGTTCTTATAGAAGAAAAAGAAAATCTTTAATGTCATTTTTATATTGGATTAGTAAGAGATTCTTTAAAAGATGAAATTGGGTATAATCATGATTTACCGAATACTTGTTTATCATGTTATTGTGGTGAAAATAAAGTTTTTAATGTAAAAATCTAAGTAGATTATGAAAATTAGGAATGTTTTTTTATATTTATAAAGGAAAATATAGAAATTCATTAAAAAAAATATAAATTTGAAATCTTAGATGAATGTTGGAAGATTTTTATAAATACTTCTTTTAAATATTAATTCTATATATAATAAATATAATGAAAAAATAATTATTTATATATAATAATTATAATTAGTAATAATTTTATTTATTTATTTATTAATAAATATTAATATAAATTATTTATGTTTTTAATATTAATTAGTGTGTATTTTTTTTATTTTATTTTTTCATTAAAAATTAGGTCAATATTTATCACAAATAAATAAATTTTTACTTTTTTTATATTTTTTTGTATTTTTAAAAAAATAAAAAACTCTAAATATATTTTATTAATTAAAAGGATATTTTTACTGAAAATAGATTTTATTTATATATAAAAAATTAGAAAATTAATAAAAAAAATTATTAAATATTTTCTATAACTTTCTATTTTTACTTTAAATTTCAATATATTTAATTTTTTTTTTTTTTTTTCCTATTTTTATAATAATTTTATCCTTATTTAATATATTTTTATAATAATAAACAAAAAAAATTAATTATTTTAAAAACATATATAATTCATGAATTTTAAAAATTATATTTATAAAAATATTATGTTATTTTTTTATTTGGTATATTTATATTATTTACTAAATTAAAATATAATCATTTTAAAAAATATTAATTTTAATTGATTTTTTTAAAAATTTTATTTTAATAATTTTATTTATTTATTAACAAAAAAATAAATTAAAATTATTTTAAATTTATTAAATTAAAAATAATTCACAAAAAAAAAAAAAAAAAATACTAATTTAAAGCTAAAAAAAAAAAAAAAAATTATACAAAAAAAAAAAAATTAAAATAAATGGAAATAAAAGTTGGTGGAAAATTCAGAATAGGAAAAAAAATAGGAGGAGGTTCATTTGGTGAAATATATTAAGGTAAAATTCTCATTTTAATATATAATTAAATTTAATAACAATAATATATATAAATCTAACTAAAAAATATATTAAAAATGTAGGCATAAATACACAAACAAATGAAGAAATAGCAATTAAACTAGAATCAATAAAAACTAAATTTCCACAATTAGAATATGAAAGCAAAGTATACAAAATATTGTTAGGCGGAGGTAAAAAAATAAAATAAATATATTGTAAAAAAAAAAACAAAAAAAGTGGGAATTCCAAATATGCATTGGTTTGGTAAAGATGGAGATTATAATATAATGGTAATTGATATATTAGGAAGTTCTTTAGAAGATTAGTTTAATAATTCTTAAAAAAAATTTTCTGTAAAAACAATAGTAATGTTAGCTGAATAAATGATATCAAGAATTGAATATTTTCATTCTAAAAATTTTATACATAGAGATATTAAACCTGATAATTTTTTAATGGGCATAAATAGAAAGGCTGAAACTCTATATATAATAGATTATGGTTTGTCTAAAAAATATAGAGATATAAAAACTGGATAACATATAGACTATAAAGAGGGTAAATCTCTTACAGGAACAGTTAGATATTCATCAATTAATACACATATTGGAATAGGTATATAATAATATTATTGTTTATTTAAATATATATATTATATTAATATATAATAAATAAGTAATATATAAATATATATATATATATATATATATATATATTTATTTTATTCTATATTTATAAAATATTTTATATAATAGAATAAAGTAGAAGAGATGATTTAGAAGCAATTGGATATGTTTTAATTTATTTTTTAAGAGGAAGTTTACCATGGCAAGGTGTTAGAGCTTAAACTAAGAAATAAAAATATGAGAAAATAGGAGAAATTAAAATTTAAAATTCGCCTGAGGAATTATGTAAAGGATTTCCTGGTATTTTTGAGAATATATAGTTATTTATTATTTTAAATTATATTATATTTAAAGCTTATTTTAATTTTAATTATTTATATAATAAGATGAATTTGCTGTTTATTTGAAATATTGCCGAAATTTAAAATTTGAAGAAAAACCTGATTATAATTGGATGAAAAGTCTTTTTAGAAATTATTTAAATAAAATGTAGCTAAGTATGGATAATATTTTTGATTGGACGAAATTAAATCAAGTATTTGATTAATATAATTATATATATTTAAATATTTATTTATTTAATAAAAGAATAGATTTTAAAAATAAAAAGAAGATTAAAATATAAATGAATAAGAAGAATAATAAATTTATAAAAATATAATTTAAAATTAAGAGATTTAAAAAATATTATAATTATCTATTCAAGAATAGAAAAAACAATCTACAAAAAACATTAAAAATTAATTATAATCTACAAATTATAATTTCTATAGTAATGCAAGCAATAATACTCCAATAAATAATAAAAATAAACAATATTTACAATAAAGATCTGATAGTATTAATAAACTTAATTAATAAAAACCTAATAATTTATAAAATGGAACTAAATTATTTCAAAGGAATTTTACTTGTAATTTTTCTTTCTTTTTTTTATATTTCTATTAATTAATTTTATTAAAGATTCTAATTAGAAATTTATAAAAGATTGATATTATATTTTTTTAATTTTCATTTAAAAAATATTAAAATATATAAAAAATAAATAATATATATATATATATGTTTCTTATAGTATAAAAATATATAAAATTAATACTATTTTATTAAATAATAAATTATAATATCTAAAAAAATTCAAACTATTTTTCAAAATAAAAATGACAAATTTAATATACAATCAAAAAATTTAAAATAAATAAAAAATAAATTAAATTTTAGACGAAAAAGAATAATAAGCATACGCTTAATTTTATAAGCAATTATCTTTATCTTAATTTAAAGATTTTATAAAAAGAATCCGTTTTTTATACACAGAACCATCTGATAAAAACGCATTGGTAGGTTTTACAGAAAACTTAATGAACAACTATATAATTTCATCTCTTATTTATGAGCATGTATATGGTTTATAACGATAAGTAAAAGGAGTAATATGTGATACGCTTAAATTAATTACTAAAAACAGTATTGAAGGAAAAAAAAAAATAATAAATGAGATAAAAAATGAATATGAAGTATTATTTAAAGAATAGTTATTAGAGAAAATAAAATTAGGAAATTATGATAAAACAACATTTGATATAGAAGAAAAATTTACAATTTTATTAAATAATATACATGATTTAATCGACACAATAAATATAGATTAAAAAACAATTGAAAATGAAACTAATTTATATTTAATACCTTATTAATTAGTTAATATATATATATATATATATAAATAAAAATTAATATAATTATATATATATATATACATCATTAGGATTTAATATAAAGATTAGTAGAAAAAATAATACATGAGAAACAATTTCTTACAAAACATATAGACATGACTGGTGAATTATTAAAAAGTATTCACGTATAAATAAGTAAAGGAATAATACACGAGGAAGATAATTATATAAAACTTATAACCGAGAATTTATAAAAAATAACCTAAAACTCAAATCTTTTAAAAAAAGATATACTTTCTCATGCCCAAATGATACTTACATATATAAATCTTTACAAGAAAAAGATAGAAATATAGGATATACTATAAATTTAAAATGAAGACTAAAATTAATAATAATAAGAAGAAGAAATTCTCACAAAATTAAGTAAGATAAAGGCTCTTTATATACTAGAAGGAAAAAACATAGATTTCTAAAAATATTAAATTTTAGAATATATAGTCTCTCTTTTAAAATATATATAAAACCCTGATATTAAAATGTATGCATTAAATGTACTTGGGGATGTATTAGAAAATATGCCTAGGAATAAATATAAGGATAATTTTGTTATAAATCAGTAATTATAGGAAGAAATCTTAGAAAAAATGGAAAATTAATTAGACTAACCGATAAAAAAAATAATTTATTATATAGAAAAAATAATTACTTTTCTAATAAAAATACACAAAGACTAAAGTGAAAAAATAGCCTAAAAGTATATATATAGGGCCTTATAATTACCTATAAGTGCATAAAAAAGGAAGTTTTATTTATTAAATGTTTTATTACCTTTTTCAAGTATTTAATTCATTATTTAAACTGATTAAAATTTAATTGAAGAACTAATGAAAGCTTGTGGAGATTTCTATATTTTGCCTTCTGGTATACTTTTGAGTAAAATTCTAGAGAGAATTTTTAAAGAAATTTGTAATGAAAATCCTTAATAATTAAGATCATTTTGGGAAAAATAATATTTTTAAATTCTATAAAATTCTAAATTACATGTAGTAAAGGGATTAATAAATACTGTGAATCCCATTTTAGTTTAAATAAGTAAAGAGAATGTCACTTATATGGTCTAGAATGTACTCAATGATCATTTTTTACCCAAAAATAAAAACTAAATGTGGCTTTATATCTCTTTTTTGAAATTGGCGAGAGAAAACAGCCTTATCTAATAACATGAAAGTCATTTTTCATTGTAAGCAGATAAAGATATCATTATTAATAAATAATTATTGGAAGAACTTATTTTATGTAAGGATAGAAACGTAGTCTTGAATACTTTAGAATTCCTTATTTCTCATCCCAAGCCTTCCTAAGAGCCATCTAAAATAGAATTTGATCTTATAGAGCTTTTTTTAAAATACGGTATTTTAAATATAGATAAAAAGAAAAATTAATTTTATTAATATATATTTAGGTATAAGAACTTCTTATGCAGAATACAGAAAAGGTTATTTATGTATATTTAAGAGATTTTTAGAAAGACTAAGATTAGTATTTGAGAATTACAAATAAAGAAGTAAGAATAAAAAGGAACTAATTAACGAAACCCATTATATAAACTTCCAGACTTTCCTAAAAAACATAACCAACTTTATATTTTCCTAACTATATCCAGAAGTAAGTTTTGAATTAGGAAATCCTTGTTTAGAATTAATAAACTATATTTTACAAAATTTCCCTTAAAAAAAGCCTATAGAATATAAAAAAGGTGAAATAATAAACCCTTCATAAATCCTCCAAAACGCCAACCCAGATTTATTTTCAAGAGAAAACTTCGAAATTTTGCTTGTATAAACGCGTTCAATGTGGGAATCAATAAGAATTCTTTCTATAAATATATTAAAAGGCTTCTAAATAAAAAGCGTTTAAAAAGACTACATAAAAAAGCTTTATATAGATAGTCTAGAACTTTGTAAAAGTCCTATTATAAAAAATTACGAATGCGGGGCTAATATATTAATGATTTTATATGAAAACTATCTATCTGAATTGGAACTAACACCGGAAATGTTTATTGAAGAAATCCTTTAAAAAGTCGACTCTTCTTTTTTAATTTTTAAACAATCTTTTTTAAACGACAATCTTCTTTTTTAATAAAATCTTATTCACGGCTATATAACTTTACTTGCTTTAATTATAAAATAAATCTCAAATTAGCTTTTTTTGAAAAAAACACTAACTAATTTATTCTAAATAATGTCCAAAATTTTAAATTTTACAACTTAAATTTCCTCCGAAACAGTCTATTCGATTTTCACTTAGAAAGAAAATAACGATAATTTTTTCAAAAATAATCAATTATAAATAGACTGTAGGGGTCATATAGTAAATGAAAAAGCCTAATTTGTCTAAAATATGTAAAAAATATTACAAGGAAATACTCTTTTAGAGGCTTTAAAATAATAAAATGAACAAGATCAAGACGAAAACGAAGAAAAAAGCGAAAATTTACTAGTTGTTGCTTTTTATTTAATTTCCCGAGAAGCCGGTTTTTTATTTTAAACCATTTCTAATATAGTAAAGGAATTCCAAGAATAATAAATAGAGAAAATTCTCGAAAAAAAAGAACTCGAAAATCTCGTAAACGAGTTTTTTATAGCCTTAATTAATATAAAACACTTAGGTTCAATAGATAGAATTTAAATAGGACTAGGAATGCTTTGTAGAACCATGAATGAGAGCAAAAATCCCATTTTACCTCAGCTTTCAAGTGATCTATTGCAATAATTACTCGATAATATCGAAAATAACACCTTTAAAAATGTTCTTAGGAGGTCTGCAGGTCTCCCTAGTGCTGTAGTGTGTTTATTAAAAGCTGAAATAGCTGGAAATAGATAGGTATTATTAAATAAGACTGTAAAAAGGCTACTTGAGATGGTACAAAATCCGAATTTAGTTAATAATATAAAGATACATTCGTTAAATATCCTAAAGAAGATATTCGAAGATGGGAATATAAAAATGGAAGTAGATAAACATATGGGAGAAGGTTTCGAAATTGCCATAAAAGGTTTTTCTATTGAAGATTGGAGTATAAGAAATTCCAGTTTAATGCTTTTTTCAGCACTATGTAGTAGAGTAATTGGTGGATGTAAAAACCCAAATGCTTAAAATGTAAAAAGTAAATTAAATGTAGTTGAGTTTTTTGCCCGAGTACCTTGTTTGCTGGATTTCTTTTAAAAAGAATTATAAAAATTCGTTTTTAGTAATTTTTATGAAAATAGTTAGTATCCACCTATTTATCCAATAGGACTTTTATTAAGTAGATTATTACCATATGATTTAAAGAATTAAATATAGAAAAAAAATAATAATAACAATGATTTTTTATAATAATAATAAGAAGATATAGAAAATATTTAAGTTTTTATTTCAGTTGATAAAGTTAAAGTAATGTTACCTTTAATTATACTTTGTGCTAAAAATAAAAATTATATGGGAAGAGTTATGTTAGCTAAAGCAGTTTTGCCTTTTTTAAATTTTGAAAATATTCATTTAGAAGCAGTTAAGTTGTTGAGGGAAAATATCTAGAATATAACGGGTGTTAAGAAAGATCATAATTTTACTCATGGAGTACTTTTGATGGTTTTCTTTATTATATAGAATTATTATTTTATGTGTGAAGAACTTAATATTGAATACGGAAATTAGGAAAACTTACTTTTACTACAGTAGGAAATTAGTAAGAGGAAATTTTTAATTTTAGACATATAATGTCCAGTTGTTTAATATACTTATTTAGATATAGTAAAATTACTTTAGAAGAATCTAAAAGGGAATATATAATTTTAGTAAGAATTTAATACTATTTTATAATTTGTGGAGCAATTTGTCGAAAAGGAAGTTTAAAAAAATACTCTTAGAATCACTAATGATATGGGTCATTCAGTTTTAAGGAAAAAAATTTTAAGGTTTCATTTAGATTCCAGTAGTTTATAAAAAATAGGAGAATTATTAATTATTATGATTTAAAAATATGAAAATAAACCAGAAATGTATAAAGAAGAAGATAATGAGTTTTTAAGAATTATTTTGAAGTATTTTTTGAGGAAATTGAAAAAAAACGAAAATTTTACAAATGAAATTTTTTTCAAATAAATACTTTAAAATTTATAATAAATATTAGAAAATCAAGAAAAAAGTCACGTTTTTTATTTTACAAATTGTATTTAGTTTTTGGTAAAAATACTATTTAAAATTGCTTCCTTTTTTGATAATTTTAATTTTTAACCTTTTGTCTAAATTTTAATTTCTTTGGAAAAAAAATTCTATTAAAATGGACTTTTAATAAAATAATTAATTAAATTTTCAGGATTTTTAATATAAAAAAAACTACTTCATATCGATTTCTATTTAAAAATTTGCGAATAATACTCTTCTTCAACTTAATTAGACTTTTTAAGAATTGCAGTTATTAAATCACTTAAAATTTCAATGAAAACACTCCTCGAAGATTTAAAATATGAATATTTTTTGAATTTTTCGAATGTATTTTTGAGACTTTTACAAGATGAAGTACCCGAAATAAGATAAAAAATGAGTAGTTTTATTTCGAAGTATATATTAGGAAAAAATAAAAGTACTATATTTGAATATACACTAAAAAAATATTATTCTCTTTTAGTAAAATAATGTTAAAATAATTAATAATAATAAATTCTTCTTTTTAACTTTTTACTTAAATAAATTTTCCATAATGAATACTTCAGTATAAAAAAAACAAATCATTTCGAAAATAGGATATTTGCTTATGATAAGGCGAATAAATTTATTGATGATATGAGAATAAAAAAATATGCTTTTAAAGCTGTTTTTAAGTTGTTAGTTATATAAAAAAATAATAATGTTTTTTCTTCTAATAATTTGGAAATGTTTGTTTAATAAAATAAGAGTTTGTTTTAAGATTTGAGTAATGTAAATTAAGATAGAATTTAACAATATTAAAAATAATTTTAAAATAGAGATGAGGTAATTATATAATATTAAATTAATATTTTAATTTATTTTTAATATTATTATTTAAGTATGAATTCGAATGTATTCTAAATTAATATATGTATAAGAATATTAAAAATTATTTAGAAAATTAATAAAAAAAAATTAATTTTGAGATTTTAAAATACCTTTATGTTAGATTTTTTAATTGAATTCTTTATGCTTTAAAAAAACCCCAATAAATTAAATAAATATTTATAATATTTAATTATTTTATAAAAATATACAAACATAAAAATAAAATATTAAAAAATATATTTATATGTATATATAAAATATTTATTTATTTTATTAGTACATTTATATTTATATATAAATTATTATTTTATAATTTTATATTTAATAATTTGTATAATTTAATTTTATTCCTATTAATATATTAATATAATTTTAACTTTTTAAATCTAATAATAAATATTTTTATTCATTAATTATAATTTTTTTTATTTTATATTTTTCTAATATTTTTATAAATAAAATAATACTAATATTATTTTTGAAATTAAAATCTACGATTTTTTTCTAAAATTTATTTATTTTCAATTTATAATATTTATATTTATTTTATAAATAATAAAAATTTATTATATTAATTTATAATTATAATAATAATTTAATTTAACATTTTGTTAATTATTAAAAAATTAATTAAATGATTGATAATGAAAATATACCTTTAAAAAAGGTTAAAAAACCTGCATTTTAAGTATATAATATGAAACATTCATTTATAAGTCTTGACTAAGCTTATACATATGTTGGTGATAATTCGCGTTTTTAATAAAGAGTTACATGGATATTATCATTTGTAATAAATAAATTAAAAAATAAAAATAAATTAAAAAAAGTAATGGATTTTTTACAGTATGTTAGTAATGAGTTCTCCTATAATGTTCAGACAACCTATATTTGAATGTATAGAATAAAATGGTTTATACAAAATATGCACTGAAGATCAAGTATGTTAATTACAAGCAAACAATTTACGAAACGAATATAGGGTAATTTCTGACGATTCAATATCTTCTGAATTCGAATTATATTGTGATAAAAAACCAATAATAGGATTTGCCCAAGCGGCATTATTTGCTGGCTAGGCTTTATCAGGTTTTTTTAGTAGTTTTATTTCTGACAGGTTTGGAAGAAGAAAAAGTTTTCTTTTTTCTATAATAATAGGGAGTACTTGTGCTTTAATAATTGGTCTATGTCCTGATTTATATGCTTTGATGGCTATGTTTTTTGGAGCCGGATTAGGTATTACGGGATATGAGACTGTTATTTTAGTATATTGTACTGAAATATCAGAAAGAAGATTTAGAAATATATGTATAAATGTACTTGTTATTATGTGGGCTCTAGCCTAGGTCTTTTATCCGATTATTAATTCATTTATTGTATAATGGAGGTATATTTTTGTTTTTGCAATTGGATTGCCTTTATTTTGTAGTGTAGGACTTTCTTATTTATATTTTTGCGAAAGTCCAAGATATTTAGTTTCTAAAAAAAAATATTATGAAGCCAGACAAGTATTCAGGCATATTAGTGAAGTTAATAATAGGCCTGCTTTCCAGTTTCATTTTTTTGAAGAAATCGATGATTATAATGAAGTTGCTACTAGAGTATATAAAAAGGGTGAAAGTATTACCAAAAAAGAACTTATAAGAGTAAAAACTAAAGAAAGACTTGATATTAATTTGGGTAGGCAAACTAATATATTTGATCTCTTTAAAACTAAATAATTGGCGATAAAAACACTTATTATGTGCTATTGTTGGTTTGTGAGGTATTTTGTATATTATTGTATCCTTTTTTCCTTGGAAAGATTAGGTTTATTTATAAAATAATTATTTAATTTATACAATTAATTTTCTTTTAATTTATAAAAATATATAAATATAAATATTAAATAATTATTTTTATAATTTAATATATATATTTATTTTATTTCTAATATTATATAAAACATTATTTATTATTATAGGAACTTAACTTAATTAAAATTTTCTTCTTCTTGCTATTATTGAAGTTATAGCTTCTTTATTAACCAGTAAATAAATAGTATATTTTATTTTTATATAATAAAAATTAGATTATAATTATAATTTTTAATATTTATTTTTATTTAAATATAGTTCCTATGAAAATGAAAATGAAACGTAAAAATGCTTTAAGATCAGCTTTTTATATGATGTCTATAGTTTCTTTATTGTTATTTATTGTAAGAATTCCTTAAAATTGTTAATTATATTTTGAATAATGTTTAGAAGAAAAGTTAACATTAATTCTAGCTATAGTAATAATAATAAAAAAATATATATATATATATATATATATATATATATATTATATATTTATATATAATAGTTATTGAAATTTTCTATTGTATTTTTCGCAGTAAATTTAATGACATATACACCTGAATTATTTCCAACTGTATTGAGAAGTCAAGCTTACGGGCTTTGTATGATTTTCGGATAGCTGGGTAGTATTTTAGCTCCTATATATATTAGTTAATACATATTTATATTTGAATAAATGAATCCTTTAACAAGTATTGCTTTCTTAGGAATTTTAGGTGTGTTTTTGACAATCAAATTATATGAAAATGAAAATATGGAAGATTATTTAGAAAATAAAAATGATACTGAAAAACCTTTATTGAATGAATTTAAAGAAATATAAATGATTATATTTACTTAACAATAATAATAAGAATGAAATTAAAATTAAAATAAATGTCTGTATTAATATGTTACACCATATTATTGTTATAAGAGTAAAAAAATACTTGCTAAAAAACTTTTTTAAAAAAACAATATCTAACCTAAAAATTATATTTATTTAAAAATAATTAATAAATATTTATGTATTTTATTAATTTTAAAACATTTTATATATCATATAAAATATCTAAAATTTTCTTTACTTCTTAAATCTATTTTTTTTTTTTTTTTTTTTTCAAAAAAAACATTAATTTTATTAAATCCAGAAATTATGAAGATTTTTTATTTTTTTTGAATAAAATTAAAAAAAATTAGAGTTTTTAAGAAAAATAATAATTTATAAATTCAATAAAATAAAATTAAAATATTTTTGATTTTAAAAAAATAAAAATAATGGATTCTAACTAAACAATAGAATTATCTGAAAGAAACACTTTAAAAAACGAAGAACAAGATTCATTATAAAAGTAAATGAATATAATTTATAAATATATATATGAAATAAACAAACAAATTTAAAAATTAAAAAAAAATATAAGCTTAAACGCCAAAACCAAGTCATAATAATAAAATTCGTAAAATAAATTTGATAAAATTGAAAAATATGCATAATATATAAAAGATAAAGTAACAAAAAATATAATAAAATAAATAAATAAAAATAAAAAATAGTTAGAATCATTAGCGTGGATATTAGGAGCAATAGCAGTGATATATTATTCTAATTTTTTCACATTTTATTTTATAATGAAAAAGTTAATGTGTAAAAAAGAACAAAAATAAAATTATTTTTAATTCAAAATATTTATTAGTTTATTTACAAACATATTCTTAGTATGTGTAAGTATAAATTGTGTTTTAGCATTTCATGTATCAGTTATAATGCCTTATATATTGAAAATATAAGAAAAATTTGATACACATAGTCCTAGATTGGTATACTTGGGTGCAATAACTGGTTTTATAGGATTTATATCGTAACATTTTTTATTTTTTAAATATAATATAAAATTTATAAATATATAAATAGACTAATAATAAGTATTTGGCCAGCTTTTGGATGGTTTTCTCCTTTTATGGTTATAACTATGTTTTTTGGATTCTTAAATGTAGCTAATTTTATACCTGATAATTAATTTGGATCATTCTTGTTTAGCTTTATTTTTATTTTTGCATTTTTTTCACATTATTTTATAGAACATGAAGGACATTTACATTATAAATGACTCTTTTTTTTTTAAAAAAAAAAAAATGTAATAGCAAATTTTTTTATTTAATATATATAATTAAATAAGTATTTTATTAAAATATTATTTTTTAAAAAATTAATCATATTTATTATTTAAAATTAATATATAATAGTATTAAAAATTAATATATAATAGTAAGTTAATAATAATTAATAATAGATAATATTTATATTAAAATTTACCTGTTTATATTATAATTAAATAAAAATTTATCAAAATTTATTTATATTTAATTATATATTTTTTTTGAATAAATTAAATTCAGAAAGTTAAGGTATTTTTATTATTTTACCTAAAAAACTTTTTATATTTTAATTATTAATAAATACTTTTTTTTTGTTTAATTAAATTTCTTATATTTATTATTATTATAAAAATATAATTAAAAAAATATTTTAATAAAAACAATAAAAAAAAATATGGATAACTAATAGCAATAAAATGTCATATTTTTATAATAATCACTTGTCTAAAATTGTAAAAAACTTTAAGAAATAATAGATTAAATAGAAACAAAATAAAATTAAGAATAAATAAACGAACAATTTATAAATTTGATAGACAATTCACGTCTAATTAATGATTTTGTAAATAATATAATTTCAGATAAAACAAACAGATAATTATTTATATAAAATGTTTCCCTCTCTAAACTTTAAAAAGACTACTTATATATAAGAAATAAATTATAATAAATATTAGATTGTAGTTAATAAAAAATTAAACTATATTTTTAAGTAAATAAAATTTTTTCAAAATTAAAAATATTATCTATTTATTAGCTTACATTTTTTGACTTTTAATATTATAATTTTTTTTTAAAAAAAAAGAAAATAAAAGATAATACAGAGTATTTAAATGATTAAAATAAAGAAACATAAGAAAATGAGCAAAAATAGGATAATTAAAAATAAATTATTATTGATTAAAAAATAGAAAAAATAAAAATAATAAAAGATTACTTTTAAAATAATTATCAATAAAGTATATATATATAAAAAAAATATATAAATATAATAATTAAATAAAAAAAGATAAAGAAAGCTCTATAAAAACAGAAAAAGCAAAAATATTTTTAACGTATGAAGAATATAAAAATATTGAATAATAAATACAAGAAGAATAAAAAAATATTTAAATAATAAATAAAAATAATATTAATAACAATAAAAATAAAAAAAATAATGGATTATTAAATATATTTTATAAAATAATATTTCCTTAAAATAACATTTTAAGTATTTGTTTATAAAGTTGAGTATATAGAAATATTTTTTTATATTATAAAATATTTATATATAAAATAAAAAATTAATTTTATTAAATAATAAAAAATATATAAATAATAAATATGTAGAATATCATTTATTCTATTATTAAATTAAAAAATAAAATATTAAAAAATTAAAGAAAATCAATAAAATTATAAATAAAAAAAAGTATAAACGGTATTTTTTATTTATTTTATATTATAAATAGTATGATTATTAATATTATTATTATTATTTTTAATATTTTTGCATTATTATTTGTATTAATTTATATTTATAAAATTATTATTATTATTATTATTATTATTATTATTATTATTATTATTATTAATTTAAAATTTTTAATATAATATTTATATTATTAATATATTTTATCATAATTAATTTAATATTTAATAATATATTTTTTATTTTTTTAAAAAGATTAATATGTAAGGTAATTTATATTTGTTATTTAAATATATAATACATATATTATTTTTTATTAATATATATAAATATTTAAATATATATATATTTTTATTATTATTATTTAATATATTTACATTTTTTTTATAAATTCAAATTTTTATTTAATTATTTATATTTATTTAATCTAACTTATTAATATATAATATATTATATTTTATATAAATTAACAATCTTTTTAATTATAATATTAGAAAAAATCAAATTATAATATTTTTTTTTTCAAATAAATAATAATATTATTATTATTTTTATTTTAAAAAATTATTATTTAATTAATTTATTATTTTTAAAAATTATTAATTTAATAAAAATATTGTATTTATTAATTTTATTTTTTTCTCATGATTTGTTTTCATTTTCTAATGTTTCTTCTTTTTAAAAATTATCTTCCTGTTAATACTTTTCTTCTTTTGTATCGTCTTCATCATCTATATTTAATCCTTGTTAAATTCTTTTAAAAATATCCTTAAGAAAAAAAAAAATATTTATAATAATATTTTAATTTTAAATTAATATATTACATCACAATCTTCATCCTCTTTTTCAATTTTATCTGAATTAAAATCTTAATTTTATGTATGTTTTTATTAATCATTTTATTGAGTTGTTTATTATTTTGTTTCTTAAATATTTTGTTAATTTTAATTTTATTTTTTAATATAATCTTAATAATTAGCTTAAATCTTATCTTTTTAATTTTAAATGATTTCTTTTTAATATTAAATTTTATCTTTATCTTGTTAAACTGCTTCAATTATTTATTATTTTTCTTTGATTTTTAATAACTTCTAATACTTTATTTTTATTTTAAAATAATTAATAATATTATAAATTAATTTAATTTTTATTTGAATATACATCAGTTTATAATTTTTATTTTTATTTTTCTAAATTTTATATTTTATCATTTATTATTTTCTCATCATGTTTTTCTTATTGTAATATATTTTACTATTAATTTTTTAAAATGGAAAAAATTAATATTTTCTATATAAAAAAAAAACTTTCTTTATAATTTTTCTTTTAATAATGGAATGTTTTTTCATTTTCTTCGTATTTCGACTAATACTATTTTTTATTTATTTTTTTAATTATCATCGTTTTTTGTATTTTTTAATATTTACTTCATTTAATTAAACATTTAAATTTCCTAGTTTTTCGGCTATATCTTAAAGTTAATCTTCTTTTTCATTAATTTATTTTTATAATTATTATAGTTTTTATTATATATCTGCCATTTCAAATAGTTTTTATAATATAATTTTAGTTTTACTATTTTTAATGTTTTTTATTATTTTTTAATAAATAAATAGATATGCATTTTTTTTTAATAAAAAATTAAATATTTTTATATTAATATATAAAAATTAAAAAAATATAAAAATAATATTTAAAAATTATTATATTTAATTAAAAATATAATATATAAATAATTAATTAATTAATTAAAAAATGAGTTTTTGATATAAAAACTAATAACAAATTATTTTTCTATTGTTTTTTATTTTTTTATTCAAAAAAAATATATATTCATAAAAATAATATAAATAAATATATAAATTTCTAATTAAATATATTATAATTAATATGGAAGAAACAGAAAAAAAATTATAAATATAAGAAATTGTAAAAGGAGAATTAATTTCCGAAACACATTAAGGAGCGACAAAAATTTATAGAGCATATTATAAAGGAAATGAATATGCATTAAAAGTATATATAAAAAAAATAAAAAAAATATAAAAAATAATAGTCAGTTTTAAAAGATTCTATAGAAAATCAATTATAATTAGAGCATTTAATAAATGAAAGAAATGGATTAAGAGAATTATAAAATAACTGTATAAATAAACTGTAAATTTAAATACAAACATAACTAATGCTAATTTTTTAAAAAAATATTATAATATTATAAAAAAAATAATTAAATAAAGATATTATATAAGAAATAATAATATATAAAGATTATATTAAAAATATTAAATTTTTTTATATATATATATATATATATATATATATATATATATATTTATATATATTTTTATATATTTATTTATATTTTATTTAAGTATAGATACAATTAAAGATGATACTCATTTACATTTTTTATTAGAGATTGTTTATGGAATTCCTTTACACAAATTATTATAAATGCATTAGAGATTTACTATAAATTTTACAAAATTAATAATTTGTTAAGTTATTTTGACTATTTAATACATGCATTTAAATGGTTTCATTTATAGGGATTTAAAAGCATCAAATATAATCGTTTAAAATACAGGAAAAATAACAATTATTGATTTAGGATATATAAAAAAAATAGGTATTAATCGCACAAACTCTTTTTGTGGGACTATTCATATGATAGCTCCTGAATTATTTGATATTAATTTGGAATAAAAAGGTTATTCATATGAAACAGATATTTATTCTATTGGAATTTTATTATATGAAATGATTGTTGGGTATATTATTTTAGTATAAGTTATAAAATTTATTATATATTTAGTAAAGCTCCATTTGGTTATTTTGATGACATATAAGTAAAATAAAATATTTTAGTAGGAATTAATGATGAATAATTAAAACTTTTAGAAGATATTTCTTTATAAAATTTAATTATTAAAATGCTTAATATTAATCCTGAAAAAAGAATAAAACTTCAAGATATTTTAAATGATGATTTTTTTAAAGATATAGATTTAAAATTGATTTAAGAAATCATAGAAACTGGTAATTTAAATGATAAAGAAAAAATATAAAAATTTGACATTGAGTATTATTCAGAGGATATTATTGATTTTGGATTGTAAATACAAAAAAAAGAAAAAAATGAAGAATTTTAATAATTAGATTAATTCTTTTGAAATTTTACTATTATTTTTTATTAAAAAACTTAAAAAAAAAAAAGATGTAATAATTAATTTTTTTTATTGTCGATTTTGTTCTTATAAAAAAAAAACAATATAAAAATATATATTTACTTATTATATTTTTGATTAAAACTAAAAAATATTAAAAACGAAATAAAAAATATTTTATATTAATATGAATTCCTTTTTTTTATTAATATAAAAAAGTAATAAATATTTCATTAAAAATAATAAAAAAAAGGAATTTGTCCATAAACAATTTAAGTAGAATTCGATTAATATTAACTTCCTTAAAAGTCAGTATTACTATAAGAAAATTACTTGGTTTCTTTTCTACCATTTTACCCAAAATAAGAAATAAATTCTTCTTCAGGTTTAATAGCGAATGTATAATCAATTTTTTGTTCTATTTTTATATGTTTAGATAGATTTATTCTAAAGATATTATTTTAAGGTTTTATATTTTAAGGATTTATTTTTGTCTATTCTTCATGTAATATTTTTCCTTTTATATTTGTTCCTTATATTATTTTTATATTTAAATTTATTTCCTAATTTTCAGGCCACTTCAATATTTCATACATACCAAAACCATTAAGCCAAATCTTAAATTTTAAATTATATTTAATTATAAATATTTAAGTTTACGTATTTTTCTATTTTAATTTAAAATGAAATAGCTTCTGTTTCTTTCATAGTCCAAATTTCATTAATTTTTTTAAATCTATTTTATGAACATATTTCTACAATTTCTTATTATGATATTTAATTTAAGCTATTTTCTAATTTTTTTAAATCCTCTATTTACCTTTCTACTTAAAAAATAGTTTCCATTTACATAATTTCAGCTATTTTGTTATTATTTTCTTCATTTTTTTTAATAAGTTCCTCATCTATTTTTATATAAAAATAGTTATTATATTTTATTTTTATTTAAATAAAAAATAATATTTAATATAACTTATATTTTGTTAGATAAAAATTATTAAATATTTATTTTTGAAAAATATATTTTTTATTACAAATTAATTCGATTTCTCCATTTTCTTTTATAGTATAAAAAGGAATTATTTTAATTAATTTTTCTTGAATTTAATCATTATTTTAATTTTCGAAAATATCAAAAAAATCAATTTTTAAAAGATCGTTTTTTTCTTTTAAAAAATCTAATTTTTATTAAATTGTATTTTCTACCATGTTAATTTAAATTTTTAAGGTTAAAATGTATTTCTATAATTGATTTATTAATTATTTATTTTAATTTATCATCTCATTACTTATATTAAGCTTTTAGCCTTGTTTTTTAATTTAATTTATGGCTTTATATAAAGGAATGCATTATTTTACGTGATCTGCATGACTTTCAATTAAACAATAACTACAAATTAATCCATAATTTTGACATTTGTTATTAAAGCAAACTATGTTTAAAGGATTTTAAAAATGATCTTATTATTTACAAAGCAAATAACTATTCATTTTATTATTTATTTTAATTAAATATTTAATAAATAAATATATATATATATATATATATATATATATATATATATATATATATATATAAATATATAAATAAAATAAACAAAACAAACGCTAAATAATCTTTTAAACAACAAAAACAAATAATAATTAAAATAATAAATAATAACTTAAATTAAATGTAAATAAATGATTAATCTATAAAGAACTAAACATCAAGTAAAATTAATATATATATATATATATATATATATACATATATTATTAAATTTAAAATATAATTATAAAATATATTATTTTTTAAAATAGAAATTATTCAATCTATTTTTTTAAAGTGTAATAAAGGCCTGCATTTTAGGTAATGCTTATAGTCAGGAAAAAATTTAGTTGAATTTTAATGTAATAGATTTTTTAAATTTTTAGTTTAAAATAAATTATGAACCTAGTCTTTTTAATTGCATTCCACATTAAGCATTTTTAGCAGAAATTTATTCCCTATTAGAATACGATTGTATAATATGCAAATAAAAACTTGACAGTAAACGTTATATGAAATATTTATACATAATTTATTATTCGAATGAAAATATGTGTAACTTTTTAAATTTGCCTTAATATTAATAATATATTGATTTTACTGCAATATTATCAGATTCTTTAAAATAAAATAGTTTAGAAGTATAAAAGGAATACTAAATAAATTTTGTAAGCCGAATTATTCCTTTACTTTTTATTTATTAATAAAATTCTTTAAAAATTCCAGTTTAAAAAATAAAAGAATATTTAAAAAATCTATTTAGGGTTGATATTTATGAGCCTATTTTAATATATTTTACTTTTATGTCAAAGTTAATAAAATATTATTAAAATTTTTAAAATAAGAATTCTTCAATTAAAAAACTAATAGATAATTTAGTTAAAAAATTAAAATATATATAATTAACAGATCATTAATAAATTAGTAAAATAGATGAAAAAATATAAATAATTAAAAAAAATACTAAAAACTAGCTCTAATATTTAGAAGAACAGAAAAATTTGTTTGAAGAAAAAAATACTTCAAATGATTTATTTTCTCTAGTTAGAAGCATAATAGTAATAATTCTTTCTTATACTAATTTATTGACTCATGATGAAATACTTTTAAAGCTTTTTTCAATATAATTTGAAGATAAAATTACTTTGCTTATATTGTGTATGCCTATTTTAGGTCTTTTTTATCCGGATTAATATAGTAGCAATTAAAATATATATAAATATTAAATTTATAAATGTTTGAATTATAAATTAAAATATGATTAATATAATATTAATAATGAACATATGCAATTTATATTTGAAAAATTTGTTTACAAATATTTAAGTAAAAATAATAAATTAATTTGATTTAAAAAAAATTTAAATAATAAAAATATAAAATTATATATATAAAAAATAATACCAAATTAATTTAAAAAATAAAACAATTTAATATGATATATTAATTTTCTATTTTTATTTATAATTAATTAATATTATGTTTTTTTATTTAAAATCAAATTATCTTTCTCTTTATAAAATAAGTTTCTTTTTTTAATATAATTAACAAATTAAAAAAAATCTTATATAATTTAAAAATTCATACAAGTAAAAATTAAATTAAAAATAATTAGTTAATATCTTTTTTGTTTTGATAGAGTTTTTAATATAATTAAATAAACAATATAAATATTTATACATGTATTATTTTATTAAATAAGATTATAAGATTATTTTTTTATAAATATAAATTACCATTAAATTTAAATTTTATACTTATTACATTATTATTATAATTTAAAATTTGAATTAACATAAAAAGAAAAAAATAGTATAAAAAATAAATTAATTAATTATAGAAATAATTATATAATATATAAAAATAAATTTATCTTAATCTTTATGGTTTTTATATTGATATTATTTTTATTCAGAATATAAAATAAAAATATTTATATACAAAATTTTAGCTAATTAAATTTATATAAAAACATTATTTTTATATATTTAAATAAAAGTTATACTTTTAATGTTTGAATTTACCCCTTTTTTTATTATATTAAAAAAGAAATAAATACTTTAATTTAAATATATTTTTTTATATTTAATATTTTAGCAAATTATTTAAAATATATTGCATTTTTTATATTTAATATAATTATGAAAAAATAAAATAATTGATAAACAGTTATTTAGTAACTTTTTTATAATAAAAATAATAATAATAATATAAAAAATAAAAATAATTTAATAATATATAATAAATAATTATATTATTTTTAAATTAATATATTAATATATTTTTAAAAATATTAGAATAAAATAATTTAATAATATTTTATAATTTATATACAATAAAAAATTTATTTTGTTACATACTTATATAAAAAATAATTATAAATATTTAAAGTATTATATTTTAATTTATTTTTTATCATATATATATTGTTTTAATATTTTATTTAATTAATTTATATGTATATAATAAACTTTATTTATTTTTAATAATATTATATTAGATATAGCAAATAATAAATTTATTATCTGATATTATAATGATTTTTTATATATAAAATACACGTAACTAAAATATTATTTTTAGTATTGAAAAATTAATTAAAAAGATTATATATATATATATATATATATATATTATTTATTATTTTAGATAAAAATAATTATAAAAATTAATTAAAACATATTATATAACAAATAAAGAAAAGGTAATTACGAAAAACTTAAAATATATATTATATAAAATAAAAATGAATAATAAATATTTTTAAGTGTAAAATTTAAATGGTTTGATAGAAGATTTTCTATAGACTTTACAAAATAAATAATTATAGTTTGACTAAGAAACTGAAACGTTAGAATGGTAATAGTTATACCAAACAATATAGATAAAAGTCAATTTTAATTTATCATTAATAATGAAAAACATTGAATTCAAATATTAAAACAACAAATAATTTTGGGAAGCTTACCAAAACTTATAAATTCCTATAATAAATGTCGATATCGAATAAACAATTTAAAATAATATAAATAATTTAACAATAGTTTTAGGTTCAGTAAGTGTATATGAAACTAAATTTTAGTAAAATGAATTAAAAGGAGATTTATAAGTAAATCTATAATAAAAACAGTAAAACTCTATATAATTTAAAAGAATATAATTTTAATAAAGTAAAAAAAATAAAAAAGTAAATTATAATATATAAAATAATAATTTATAAAATATTTTTATTTATTTGTAAAGCTATTTTAACATCTTGGATTATATGTAATAGAGAAAAAATTTGATTAACTACCGAAAATAGTTAGCTTCTACGTTAGCTCACCTTTTTTAGTAAAATCAAGAAAAAAACCATATTAAGAAAAGGTGTTTTATATTAATAATTTTAGAAAAATATAAAAATAAATAAATAAATAAGCATTTTTTATTTTTTTAAATAATTCTATGATAGAAAAAAAACCATATTTTTATCTTTTGAAAGAAAAATATTATTTAATTAATAAAAATACTTTTGAATGAAAATATTATTAAATTAATTAAATTACATTAAATTAAATTAAATTAAATTAAATTAAATTAAATTAAATTAAATTAAATTAAATTAAATTGCATTAAATTATTTTATTTTTTCAAAAGTCTAAAGACTTGCATTATTTTACACCTATTAGCTTAAAAACTATATATATTTAGAAAAAGCAAGGCTTTATTTTTAGCAAAACTATTTAAAATGATATTGATGGACTATTTGGATATTTTAAATCTCCTAATATAAGATATAAAGTATTTTTATTTAAAAAATTTATTATATTTTTTTTATATTATATATAGATTGCTAATCCATTATTCATAGCTATAAAGTTTAGTAATGCATCAAATTTGTATTTAGATAAAAAAAGTTTTTCCTCATAATTTAAAGGTTTTTTCTTTTATTATATTTTTTTTATCAGCAATTCAATATTAATTATTATAGTTAATAGAAATAATATAAAAAATTTTTCTTGTTTTATAACAAGATATTATTTATAAAGAAAAGCCATTAAAATTATTAGTTAAAAAAATATAAAATTTATTAGTAAAAGCGAAAAGGTATTTATTATAAATAAAAATAATAAAAATATAAATATTTTGCAAATGTTAAATAAAATAATATTTTTTTTTTAGATTTTTAAAGCCTTTAAAATATTTTCAAAAACTAATTGCGAATTTCAATTTTAGTAAGACCCTTTAAATTAATAAAATTTTTATATTTTTTAATTTAATGAAGTAATTTTTGTTAAAAGTATTGTATATAAATATATATAAAAAGGATGATATTTATTAGGAATATATGTAAGCATATAATTAGTAGTATAATAATTGTGTACTAGATAATTTGGAAAAATATAAATAAGCTAGGGTATAAACACTTTATATATCTTAAAAAGGATACTTGAAAACTTAGATAGAAATTGATCTGAATAAATAACTCTAAATACTAAAATAATGTTCTGAAATTAATTTATAAAAAGTATAAGTATAAAATAAATTATATAAAAGAATTTAAAAATAAAATTAAAATTTAATTTAAAATAATTAAATAAACATGACAATAAACTAAAGTATTAATTAATAAGATAATTACTAAAATTAATAAGAAATATATTTATAATAATATGATAAAAAAGATTTAAAATAATATTAAGAATAAATATTTTAATATAATAATAATATAAACTTTGTTAATAATTCTATTAATTAATATTAATAATAAAATTACTATAAAAAAAATTATGAAGTAGAAATTTTAAATTATAAAAATGATCATTTTTAAAATTCAGACTTTAAAAAAAAAATTGAAAAAAAAATTTATTTTAAAAATATTAAAAAAAATTATATATAGCTGTATTTTTAAAATATATATTATTATTTTATTTTAATAATTTTGTATTAAATTTATTTTTTAATTTGATAAAATTTAATA